TACACACAGACACATACACACAGACACATACACACATACACACAGACACATACACACAGACACATACACACAGACACATACACACAGACACTTACACATAGACACATACACATAGACACATACACACAGACTAATAGACACATACACACAGACACATACACACAGACACATACACACATACACACAGACACATACACACAGACACATACACACAGACACATACACACAGACTAATAGATACATACAGACACATACACAGACATACACACAGACATACACACAGACATACACACATACACACAGACATACACACATACACACAGACACATACACAGACATACACACAGATTTACACACAGACACATACACATAGACACATACACACAGACACATACACAGACATACACACAGACATACACACAGACACATACACACAGACATACACACAGACATACACACAGACACATAGACACATACACATAGACACATACACACAGACACATACACAGACATACACACAGACATACACACAGACATACACACAGACATACACATAGACACATACACACAGACTAATAGACACATACACATAGACACAGACACATAGACACATACACATAGACACATACACACAGACATACACACAGACTAATAGACACATACACATAGACACAGACACATAGACACATACACATAGACACATACACACAGACACATAGACACATACACACAGACACACAGACACACATACAAATGACTGTGAGGAACACAGTGTTACCAAATGAATCTGAAATGGATACTGATGATAAATGTGCAGAAGATCTGAGTCATCACAAAAATCTTAGTAAAAATAGAAACATTACAGGGTTAGGTCCACCTGAAAAACATGGTGTGTTCAGGTACAGGTCACAAGGTAACAAATACAGAGGTCAGACTTGAAAGTTAATGTAAGAACAGAAGCCATAAGACTACCCATCGACTAATGGCCTCAGGCATTTAATCAGTCGTGGATCACCCCAGGCAGGAAGTTTCAGTATAGAAATATTAAAACATTGGAATAATTTGAAATATTATAATATTAATATATTATAGTCAGTTGAAACAATCTGTGAAACCTCAGTCTGTAAAAATTCAGTTTGAGACCCTCAGTATGTAGACCAGGGCTACTCAACTAAACTGAACTGGTCCACCGTTAATTTATGCCAGCAGCACAGGGGCCAAACATCCAGCAATTAAAGTTATTATGTAAATAAACCAAGTACTACAAAGATCTGTTACCTTTGAAATAGTTTATTTTGTTGCATTTAATCATGGATACAACATACAGAACTATAAAAGTAGTGATAATTAAACAATATCAAAAACAACAATCACCAGTGTTGTATAAAGTACCACAGAGTGATACCTGAGTAAAAGTACAAGTATCTTACCAAAAACTTACTTTGGTAAAAGTTAAAGTCTCCTTTATGAATATTACTTGAGTAAAAGTGTTAAAGTATGTGATATTTGTTGTAGTTAAGTATTAAAAGTCAAAGTGCTGATTTAAAATGAGCAGTTAGATTTTCTGTAAGGACATTTATTAGGAGGTGACC